AGAAAAATGCTTGAGAAAAACCCCCAGCTGCGTCTGCTCCCACAAATGTGAAGGAGGAAGGCTTCCTGCTGTGCCCCTCCTTAGACTGCTGTATGGGCCAGACTCCCCCCCAGACGAGGGCAGGGTGGGGCCTCCGTGTCGGTAACTCCCCTTTCTCCATCTCACTAGGCCTGCTCCCTTCAAAAGCTTCGTGCCAACAGAGAGGTTCCTGTCCAGATCCAGCAGAGCAGGAAGGAGACGCTGGGACTGAGGGCCGAGGGGGCCTCGACAGGAGGAGGTGGGCAGGGCTGGCTGAAGACCTCGCCCGCCTGCAGTGTCACCCTCGCGGCCTGGCCCTGGCCTCCCACCTGTCACTGCTGCAGCAGCGGCTCCAGGGTCCTGGCCAGAGGCCACCCCCCTGCTCTCTACCCCGGGCTGCACCTGCTTCCCCCACTTCACCTTCCAGAGGACACCGCAGGATGAGCACACGCACAGCCCCATGCGACGCCCGTTGAGCCTTAAGCTGGGTTTGGCCCCATGCGGGTCTTGAATGTGGTGGCTGTTGCAGGAAGTGACTCAGAGGATAAACGTGCCAGTGGGTGAGGGTAGGGTTTTGACTCACTCATTTCCAGTTGCTGCTTCTCCGTCACTCTGGTAGAGGTCTGGTCATACTTTGGGACAGATCTGACACATGCTAGGGGAGTGCCGGCGTGCTTCTCTGGCCAGAGAGATGTTTTTTTTGAAATTGTAGGTGGCGTGACTACCTGACCTCAATAAACCTGTAAAAGCAATACCTAGGAGGCTGACTTCTTTCGATTAAAACCAAATGCAACTCCGACCCCCGAGCTCCTGCCTCTCTTTTCTTTGAAGTTCAGGAAAGGGGGTCCTTGGGCGGAAGATCATGGTTGACAGAGGGCAGGAGAGTCAGGGCCACCCAGTGGAGATCCAGTAAGGTCGGTGGGGGAATTGGCAGGTTGGGCTAGTGAGGGAGTCCTGGACCGCCTGGCCTCTGTGGGCCTGACCAGCACCGCAGCCTTGGGGTGTGGCGGGAAAGGCCTGAGGCTCTGCTGGAAACGAAGCAAAATCCCAGAGAGTTCCAAAGTGTGGCCTCCCCATGCCGGGCACGCAGCGCACCCCCTGTTAAATATGCAAGGGAAGCAATGAACAAAGGGGCGAAACTGCATCAACTTGCAGTTTGAAAAATAGTAATGCCCTCCAGGTGGCAGACAGCACCAGTATGAAAAAAAACGAAACAGTGAGGGGCTGGCCACAGCACGGGTGGCGCCTGTGTTCGGTGGGGCAGCCCTTCCTGAGGAGCTGTCCGTTCAGCCTAGCGCTGAAGGACAACAGACGTCGACCATGACAAGAGCTGGGAAGAACACCCCAGGCAGAGGCGAGAAGGAAACATGGATGCATGTGACTGACCGCTAACGCATGCCGAGCCGTGTGCCAGCTCATGTGACTGACTGCTAACGCATGCTGTGCCGTGTGCCAGCTCATGTGACTGATTGCTAACATACACCGAGCTATGTGCCAGCTCACATGACTGACCATAATGCATGCAAAGCTGTGTGCCAACCTCTGTTGTCAACAGGTTGGCTCACCCAATCTTACATGCCCCGTGAAGAAGGTATGGTGACTACGCCCATTTTACAAACGGGGAGACCGAGTGACAGAGAAGGAACCTGCATGAAGAAGTGTTGGAGCCAGGCACTGCGCCATCTGGCTCCAGCGTCTGGGCAGCTGACTCTAGACTGGTTTTTCTCCAGTATGAAGAGTCAGCCCCATGCCTGCCACATAGTAACATAATCATTCATGTTTGTTGAGCAGCTTCCTATGTTCCTTGCACTGTGACAAGTGCTTTACAGGCAGTAAGCCATTTAATAAATGGCAATTTGTCACACTGTTGTGGTTTGTGTGTGGCTCTGATGCTGGAAGCTATGGCCACCAGATTCCAAACGCCAGCACGGTCACCATGGTGAACAAGTTTCCGCAGAGCCTCCAGACTTAGACAAGACTAGGAAGAAAGAGCTAAATCTTCTTCCAAAAATTAGCTAATGAAACCTATGGCTCCCGACAGTATCGTCTGATACAGTGCGGGTCTGAGTCCCCAGGTGGGAAGGCGCTCAGGACGCACAGTGGCCTGACACCGCCGTAAACGTGGGGCAGGACCAAGCCGCGTTTCAGCCTGTTGTGCACGGAGCCATCCTAAGTGAGAGCTGACTCTACGGTAACTCACAACAATAACATTGTTTTAAAAGTATACTTTTAAATACAGCCTCTGGCCTGTTTTATCCTCTCGAAACAGACCAGAAGCACTGGGTACAGGAGTGCCCGCCCCTCTGCTGGTGGATGCAAGAGACGCTGAGTGGAAGCAAGCACAGCCTCAGAGAAGCTGGGTGCCCACACCCATTGCCATGCGGAGCCCACGAGTGCAGGGATGCCCTGAGGAGTGACGCCTGGGCTATGAAATCTAAGCCTGGGCTGTAACTCCCGAGGCCCTTCGCAGCCACGCTCAGGTGGAAGCACACGCCTGCGCCCAGACTGCCAGTGGGCAGACGGGTCCAAACCCTCCGGAACCTCCAGAACCGCTTGCTGGGAAGGGGAGGGGAATGTGGGAACAGGCTGCACACCAGGACGGCACAGACAGTCCCACTGCCCCGCGGAGCCACGTTGTCCTCAGCCTGGCTTCTGAAAACAGTGGCTGAGCCGGCAGCCCAGGCAGCATTCCAGCTTGGCACGGAAGCGCCTCCCAGGATGGAGTGGCGTGTCAGAGCAGAGGAAAACATTGCTTTAGTGCTTCCCACGCTCCAAACTTTCTGATCCCCAAATAATGAATCTTCCACCAAATCTTGGCAAGGAAGCCACAAAGAAAGTACTTCCAGAAAGTACAGGACTCAGGCCAAGGTGTACTTGGGTACCTGTGTGAGTCGGTGTGTGATGGAGGAAGGGTGGCCCCTGGCAAACTGGCCAATGGAGAATATGGCAGAAGTGAAGCTGGGTGACCTCTGAGGCTGGGTGATAAAAAGGACCCTCCCTCCCTCCTCTCTTCCCCCTTCCCTCTGTGTGCTTGCTGGCTCCAGCTCTCTACTTCCCTCCCTCCCCCTCCCCCTTTCTATTCTTTCCCCAACTTCAACCCAACCGCCATGCTGAGGAAGCCCAAGCTAGCCTGCGTGGGGGAGCCCCCAGCTGGCAGCTCCTCAGTGGAACCGAGGCCCCCCAGCCAACAGCCAGCTCTGAATGCCACACATGATGCCCGGGACCAAGCCTTCAGCTGACCCCAGCCCCAGGCTTCCAGCTGCCCCAGCTGTCCTTGATGGGGACAGAGATGAGCTCTCCCCACTGAGCCCTGTGCAGGTGTGTGTGAGCAGTGGTTTTAAGCCACTACATCTTGGGGTGGTTTGTTACACATTAGACCAAATGGTGATCGTGGTAATAAACTCAAGCATGGCCTTGCCTGTGAAATTAAACGAGACCCTATAATGTAGTGGAGAAAAGATGAGCTGGGAAGGCAGAAAGGCACATGTGGTACCAGTCTTCCCCTTCCCAACCCCATTAGTGTACATCAGCTGTTTCCTGCCAAGGCTAAGTGCTGGCCAGGACTGGCTTTGGCCTCTGGCAAACAGTCAGTGCAAAACTGAGTCTTGCAGACAGAAAGCAGCTGCCACGGACCTGGCCTCTCGGGGCTCAGACACAGGCTGCCAGCCGCCGTCTCAGGGCTTCAGGCTGGAGGAATGTTCTCCCCCTGGTGGGTACCAACTGTCCTGGGGAGGCAGGCATATGCCACTTCAGGCCCTCACTCTGGCCTGGCCACAGGTGACAGGTAGCCTTCAGGGTTCCTGGGAGTGTGGCAGCTGTCATGTGGTACCCGTTTGCCAGGCACATGGTTGCTGAATAAGCAGCCTCAGTGGTGAGCGTGGCATTAGTGTGGGCCTGGAAGGAGCCCGGAGCTCCCCGGGGGCTGTCAGCAGAGCAGGATATGGTCCACTCAGCGTGGGCTGGGGTCAACCCAGAGCCGGCAGAGGCTGAGCACCGGGATGCCAAGGTGCGTGGGAGACTGCAGAGGACAGCTGTGTCCACAGCCAACAGTCCGAGGTCTGAACATGCTGCGGGAGGTCAGGAAAAGGAGGTAAGACAGGAAGCTGGGAAGGTGTTGGTCACGGTCGGGGTGAAGGAGCAGGGCCACACAGGGCTGGGCCGCCCAGCCCAGGATGGTGGGGAGGACTTGGGGAAGCACAATGAGGGTTAGCAGTCACTACACAGGGAGAGGCAGGAACATGGGGAGCAGGTGCCTATGGGGATGAGCCCAGGGACATCAGGGCCACCAGCGGGCTGGGACACAGCAAGAATGACTTGCAAGTCCCCAAAGGAAGAGCTTCCCAATGCTAAGAGCCGTGGGACACAGACAGCCAGGCCCACCCGGTCCCCTGCCCCCACCTCCAAGCCTGACCCCAGGGAGGCCCCCTATGGTGTCACCCAGCTCCCACCTGATGTTCCACCTTCCCAGAGACACTGAGCCTTCCTCCCTCCTGGTCTCGCCCCAGTCACCTTGTTCCAGGTGTGGCCAAGGTCAACGCAGGCTGATCCGTGAGTCCAGCTGCTGCAGGTGCTCCTGGACACCAAACGGGATGGTGGGCGTCCACATCCTACAGGGGCAGGCGGGGATGGGAGGCAGAGGTCAGAGTGCAGGCGGGGGGTGGGAGGCAGAGGCCAGAGTGCAGGAGGCAGGGATGGCCTGGAGCCCCAAGTCCCTCCAGGTTCCCAGCCTAGGACCTTGGGAACCTCCCACCTAGCAGGGAACAAAGCAGTATGAGGTCATGGAGAAAGCAGAAGCCTGGGCCTGGAGACCCCTCTCTTTAGATCTGTTCCCACTACTGATTTGCTGTGTGGCCCCAACAGAGTTAGTTAACCTCTCTGTACCTTATTCTTTTATCTGGAAAGTGGGTCTTATACGACCCTCCCTATCATCTTAGAAGGAGCTCTGGTAGCATAGTG